ATAAACTAATAGTTTGTATGAGGATAAAATCTGCGACTCAATGATATATATATATATATATATATATATATAATGTCATGATTATTGGACTTTCCACTCCAATCTTTTAATTTCTAACAAGTATTGCTTTTATAAATTTTTATAACCAGTACTCTAGTTTAGATTCCCAAGAGAGCATATTTGTTTACTTTTGGAAACAAGTATCAAAAAAGTGGAACATCTTATTATTGTGATTACTTCTGAATATAGAAACACCTGACAACGTTCTCTGACGGCAGGAATCCCGATTACAAGATGGGGTGTAACGATCCATATGTCTTTACCAAAATGGCTATATCTTCGGATCTAATTTGTATGTTCTATTCTCATTTCAGATATAGTTTTATTCATAAGACTATTGTTCGTACAAATATTAATCTTTTAAACAGGTGTTTCATGATACATTATTTTTTCACGAAACATTGGATAAGAGCAGACTCGGCATGAAATAAAAGTCATGTTGATCATTTAACTTATAATCTAACAAATGATAAAAAGGTATTATCTACGTGTATCATATTGACGTTAGACTGATAAGCTACATCATCTTGTGTATTGTAATAAATGTTACTTTAATAGTTTTTACATCTGGTGACTTATATAATTTGGTTATTGGTGCTCTTATTTCTAAATACTTCGTTGAACAGTAATAATAGCATATATGAAATAATATATATATATATATATATATATTTGTGTCTAGATTCTTAATGTGCTGAACATATAATGATGATACGATTGGGATATTTGCATAAGCATGTGTACAATAATGTTATACTCAACGCCGATATCATTGATCAGATACATATACTTACGTTAAAGGAATAAATACACTTTCATATTCTAATCGCATGGATATAAGGTTATAGTGTACATATTTATAGCGGGTTTACTGAAAAATACACGTAATATAATCTCATTTTTAAATCCTCTCGTCGCCACCTAAGAACACTCAATAACTCTTAATGTCACAATGATCACAATAAACTTATTTTTCTGTGGTAGTGAATATCTACCACAGATATTCCATACCATGTTGACTCATAAAGGGCCTTATAATTTTCTACC